ATTGCTAACTTAATATAAGTTAGTGTAAACTTGTTGTCTGGCATTTATTGCATATTTTATATGCTCTGATAATAATACTTGTTGAGCCGGGTGGAGGGACAACATTGTTTTCTCTGTTCAGCCATCAGAGAAAACGTGTATGAATCTGCGTTTGGCCCAGCCACTCCCCCAATCCGCTTTTGTTTACAATTTTCGGCATGAATTATTCATTACTTCTACCTTCGTTTATGATGGCATCTAAAGGTAGTTGTTAGAAATGATTAAATTCAGTGAAGAAGGCATGTCGATGTTAATAATATGGCTCTGGGCCACAATGTAGGTAGCCGGTAGGTGTAACCCAGGCTACACCTACCAGCTATACCTTCTGGTGCTGTATAGCCCTTGTGGCTTAGCGCTTCTTTTTTATTATAATAATAATACACCTACCGGCTACACCTACCGGCTACCTACACTGACTTTATACAAATAAATACTACTCAACTCTCTTCCTATATTAAGACTGCACATATTTTAAGGTAAATAATGAGTGTACTGTATGTGCATTTTACCTGTCTGGGATGTTTTAAATATTGTATATTAAGTATGAGACGGGGAGCCAGTGCTACCTATACCTGGGCTACCTGCACCTGACTTCCTATAAATAAGTACTACTCACCTCTCTCCCTACATTAAGATTACAAATACTTTAAGATAAGTAATGAATTTACTGTGACTGTATTTTACTTTGTGTGTTTTTAATGCCTAGTTCTATTACTAACTTAAAATAATTTAGTGTAAACTTGTTGTCTGACATTTATATGCATTTATAAATGGAAAAAAATGGAGTTTTGCCTTCCGGCGATGTCTGCTTTCCGGCGACAGCCTGGAACCTAACCCACCGTATAAGTGGGGCCCTACTGTATTTATATTGTTTCTTATGTCATATTAGATCAATTGTGATAGGCAAATAAGCTGTAGTGTTGATATTAGTGTAATAATAAAGCATATTCTCCTGCTTCATGAGACTGAGCTCATGGCAACTGACAGTGGCTTCAAAGCCACCTTATCTTTAATGGATAATGTACTGTGTAGGTGCTTTACATAATGAGAAGCATTTCTTTAATTCATTGGAACCATGGCTAGGGCTAAAAGCAAGCAGGTTAAAACAATAAATGGAGAAAAAGAAATTGGAATGACTTGTGCAGCAAGTAACGCCAACAAACAGTACCAGCAGGTTGGTGTGGCGACCCTGGAAATTTGAAATTATTTATTTTTATTATCACACTGGCCGATTCCCACCAAGGCAGGGTGGCCCGAAAAAGAAAAACTTTCACCATCATTCACTCCATCACTGTCTTGCCAGAAGGGTGCTTTACACTACAGTTTTTAAACTGCAACATTAGCACCCCTCCTTCAGAGTGCAGGCACTGTACTTCCCATCTCCAGGACTCAAGTCCGGCCTGCCGGTTTCCCTGAACCCCTTCATAAATGTTACTTTGCTCACACTCCAACAGCACGTCAAGTATTAAAAACCATTTGTCTCCATTCACTCCTATCAAACACGCTCACGCATGCCTGCTGGAAGTCCAAGCCCCTCGCACACAAAACCTCCTTTACCCCCTCCCTCCAACCTTTCCTAGGCCGACCCTACCCTGCCTTCCTTCCACTACAGACTGATACACTCTTGAAGTTATTCTGTTTCGCTCCATTCTCTCCACATGTCCGAACAACCTCAACAACCCTTCCTCAGCCCTCTGGACAACAGTTTTGGTAATCCCGCACCTCCTCCTAACTTCCAAACTACGAATTCTCTGCATTATATTCACACCACACATTGCTCTCAGACATGACATCTCCACTGCCTCCAGCCTTCTCCTCGCTGCAACATTCATCACCCATGCTTCACACCCAAGGACAAAGTTCTTTGTCTCCACAGACTCCTAAGTGCACCACTCGCCCTTTTCCCCTCATCAATTCTATGATTCACCTCATCTTTCATAGACCCATCCGCTGACACGTCCACTCCCAAATATCTGAATACATTCACCTCCTCCATACTCTCTCCCTCCAATCTGATATCCAATCTTTCATCACCTAATCTTTTTGTTATCCTCATAACCTTACTCTTTCCTGTATTCACTTTCAATTTTCTTTCTTTTGCACACCCTACCAAATTCATCCACCAATCTCTGCAACTTCTCTTCAGAATCTCCCAAGAGCACAGTGTCATCAGCAAAGAGCAACTGTGACAACTCCCACTTTATGTGTGATTCTTTATCTTTTAACTCCACGCCTCTTGCCAAGACCCTCGCATTTACTTCTCTTACAACCCCATCTATAAATATATTAAACAACCACGGTGACATCACACATCCTTGTCTAAGGCCTACTTTTACTGGGAAATAATTTCCCTCTTTCCTACATACTCTAACTTGAGCCTCACTATCCTTGTAAAAACTCTTCACTGCTTCCAGTAACCTACCTCCTACACCATATACCTGCAACATCTGCCACATTGCCCCCCTATCCACCCTGTCATACGCCTTTTCCAAATCCATAAATGCCACAAAGACCTCTTTAGCCTTATCTAAATACTGTTCACTTATATGTTTCACTGTAAACACCTGGTCCACACACCCCCTACCTTTCCTAAAGCCTCCTTGTTCATCTGCTATCCTATTCTCCATCTTACTCTTAATTCTTTCAATAATAACTCTACCATACACTTTGCCAGGTATACTCAACAGACTTATCCCCCTATAATTTTTGCACTCTTTTATCCCCTTCGCCTTTATACAAAGGCACTATGCATGCTCTCTGCCAATCCCTAGGTACCTTACCCTCTTCCATACATTTATTAAATAATTGCACCAACCACTCCAAAACTATATCCCCACCTGCTTTTAACATTTCTATCTTTATCCCATCAATCCCGGCTGCCTTACCCCCTTTCATTTTACCTACTGCCTCACAAACTTCCCCCACACTCACAACTGGCTCTTCCTCACTCCTACAAGATGTTGTTCCTCCTTGCCTTATACACGAAATCACAGCTTCCCTATCTTCATCAACATTTAACAATTCCTCAAAATATTCCCTCCATCTTCCCTATACCTCTAACTCTCCATTTAATAAGTCTCCTCTCCTATTTTTAACTGACAAATCCATTTGTTCTCTAGGCTTTCTTAACTTGTTAATCTCACTCCAAAACTTTTTCTTATTTTCAACAAAATTCGTTGATAACATCTCACCCACTCTCTCATTTGCTCTCTTTTTACATTGCTTCACCACTCTCTTAACCTCTCTCTTTTTCTCCATATACTCTTCTGTCCTTGCATCACTTCTACTTTGTAAAAACTTCTCATATGCTACCTTTTTCTCCCTTACTACTCTCTTCACATCATCATTCCACCAATCGCTCCTCTTCCCTCCCGCACCCACTTTCCTGTAACCACAAAGTTGAAATTATGCTAGCCAAAATTAGTGCCGAATAACTGATTGCCGGATTTGTGATGGCGGACCTGTACACCCAACAACACAACACCTCTCGTGACATACATAATGACTTATTTTATTCATTCTAGAGTATATTCCATGTTTCTATGTTATTAATATTGTTTATTATGTCATATTAGTTGAATTGTGAAAGGTAAATAAGCCATTGAGTTGATATTACAGTGGAACCTCAAAAATCGAACTGCTCCCAACACCTCCAATTATGTAAATGTATTTTTGTAAGTGCTTTTATAAGTGCATTTTTGAGGGTCTGAAATGGACTAATCTAATTTACATTATTCCTGATGGGAATAAATTCATTCGGTAAAGGCACTCGAACAGCCTTCTTGACTGAAGAAAGTTCGATATTTGAGGTTCCACTGTAGTGTCATATTCTCCAACAATAAACTCGCCTCCCCTCTCTCTGCCATACACCAACAAAAGTCTTCAATAAAAGTAAGTGTGATGTTCAATGTTCATTTGTACATTTTTTTTTATTTTATTATCACACTGGCCGATTCCCACCAAGGCAGGGTGGCCCGAAAAAGAAAAACTCTCTCCATCATTCACTCCATCACTGTCTTGCCAGAAGGGTGCTTTACACTACAGTTTTTAAACTGCAACATTAACACCCCTCCTTCAGAGTGCAGGCACTGTACTTCCCTTCTCCAGGACTCAAGTCCGGCCTGCCGGTTTCCCTGAACCCCTTCATAAATGTTACTTTGCTCACACTCCAACAGCACGTCAAGTATTAAAAACCATTTGTCTCCATTCACTCCTATCAAACACGCTCACGCATGCCTGCTGGAAGTCCAAGCCCCTCGCACACAAAACCTCCTTTACCCCCTCCCTCCAACCTTTCCTAGGCCGACCCCTACCCTGCCTTCCTTCCACTACAGACTGATACACTCTTGAAGTTATTCTGTTTCGCTCCATTCTCTCCACATGTCCGAACCACCTCAACAACCCTTCCTCAGCCCTCTGGACAACAGTTTTGGTAATCCCACATTTTATTAGTGCTTTATATTTATTTGGCATTCTTTTTCTGCATGTAAATCTATATTAAGCTTGGGAAGTGACCTAGAGGGGGATTCCCCTTCCAAACAATAATCTCTCTTCCCTCTCTCCTCCTCCCTATCTTCCATTCATCAACAACAGCCTTCAATAAAGGTAACTGTCATGTTGAATGTTCATTCTTTTGTGCATGTAAATCTATCTTTAAGGTAAAAAAAAAATTGTTGTTGATACTTCTGGGTGTCTGGAACGAATTAATTGAATTTACATTATTTCTTGTGGGGAAAATGGATCGAAAATTGTCAATTTCGATAATAGTCACACTTCCAGGAACAGATTAATTGTGAAAAATGAGGGACCACTGTATATCTAAATCATAGATAATTAAGTGAAAATTGTCTAAATATATTTATCATTGTTGTATTCATGGTTTGGTGTGGGTGAGCTAGTGAATTTCTTGAAAGACCAGGTGCTTACAAATATAATTTTATTTTTTTGTTTACTATTTTCAGGTTCCATGTTAGAAACCTCCCAGAAGCTTCTAACTAAGGGATTCCATCCAGCCACAATTTCGGACTCTCTCTTACACTTTTCCAGCAAGGCTGTTGAAGTGTTGGAATCTATGGCTATTCCTGTGGATCTAACTGATAATGCTTCACTTCTAAAGAGTGCAAACACATCCCTTAATTCAAAGGTAAACTAAACCTTCCACCAGTTTGGCCAACTTGGATTTGTTAATTCAGTCTTCATTATACTGAGCAAATATTTACAATTTTGGTTAGAACAGGCATATTATTTACTTAATAAAGGCATAGAAAAATACCAGTAATATGACTGGACCAAGACTGAGTCATGGGAGTTAGTTTGTCCATATCTAGGTTAACAGGTTTAAATAGTGTAGTAGGTTGGACTACTCAGATAGGTATTAGCCTACTGTTAAGTGTGACCAGAAGCCTCTTAATTGACCCTTTGGCTGTCGCAACCCCCAAATCCTAAAGTCTCTCTCTGTCGCAAAATTTAAAAAAAAAAAAAAATTCTTATGAAATGATAGATAATCTTTTCCTGATATTAAATTAATGACTCCAAAAGTATGAAATTTGATGGAAAACTTACTGAATTATGCTCTCGCAAAGTTAAGAGTTCTCAACAGTGTTTACGCATCGGCAATTTCGCCCACTTTGAGCCCCCTTTTCGGCCAATTCCATTTTTTCAGTCAACCAAACTCATAGCTATTTCTTTAGAACTCCATTTGTTCTATCGATTGAGTACAAGAAACAGCCCATTTACTGATTTCAAATACCCAATAAAGTGGTCAGAAATTTGCAATTTGGCCAATTTCATGCAAATTAAAAAGATGCCAATTTCAAAATAGGGTCCAGAATGAGCAATGCAGACATTCCTGGCACTAAAATAACATTTTCTCTGTTCATCAGTCATGCCTCCAGGCCCCTTTTATATTACCTTGCTTTCTATTTTGAATTTTTATTCACACAAAAAAATAGAAGATTTACTGTTATGCAGACTACTGCATTATTGTAATAATTGTATAAATAACATCAACCCATTCATGACTGCGTATTAGAATGGCTAATTGAACACTTGTTGGACATTTGCTCACTCTTGAACATCTGCAAAAATCAAACATTTCTGCTGCTTTGAGCTCAATTTCTAGGTCCTTTTCATCGTGGAACCAATCAAAATCATCTCTATTTCTGTAATATGTTTTCCATTCTATCAAATGAGACCAAGAAAACAGGAATACAAATATAAATACTATATGAAAATACATCTCAGTCTGTTTTAATCCAAAAACACATGCTGGAGTTTTTTTTTTTTTATACTGCACACACACCGACCACACACATCCATTCTCTCACATGTGGGCATACCAGCGTTCTTCCGCTTGATTTGAAGCTGCTAGAATTTTGGAGTATAAATTTCTCAAAAAAAAAAAACTGGCTCGTAAGACGTATGTATACGACTGAAACAGTCAGAGGGTTAAAAGGTGTTGCACTGATTTTGTTTTTGTCCAGTGAACCTGCAAGATGATGGGTAAATCTAATTACATTCAGTAAATGAATTCATTTTGCTGTGTATTCTTATTGCTGTAATAGTATTTACAAATTCAGGTCTGGTCTGGTCTGCAACTGGGTTACAGGGATGGTGATCCCTGGAACCATTAGGAGATATGTAATATACAAAAAATAGAAAAATATGCAATTTATTCTTAAGGTATTTACATGTGATTTTTATATTTCTCTGTAAAGAAACCAAACCATACCACGGGCGGGGTTAGAACCTGTTTAGACTGATCGTGGATTCTAACCCCGCCCGTGGTGTGGTTTGTTTGCAATCCTTTCATTACGACTCTGTAAAGAACTTGGCTTAGTGCAGTATTTTGGGCAGACTTTAATGTACTGGTTAAAATATTACAGCATTAATCTATTTGTGGTCTGTTATTTTTTAATTTACCTTCTTAAAATTTGTAAGATACTTTTATATTTTCCTTTATGTACAGTGCTGAACAAAAATTTTTCATGTTCTGAAAATGTTACTTTAATAACAGGTTGTGCATGAACACTCGGGGATGCTAGCTCCGATGGCAGTAGATGCTGTCCTCAAAATAGTTAACCCAAGCCAAGACACTAATGTAGACCTTAAAGACATTCGTATCATCAAAAAGCTGGGCGAGACTGTTGAGGACTCTCAGTTGGTTGATGGAATTGTATTCACACAGAAGACTCAAGGCTATGGTGGACCAAATAAGGTGGAAAAAGTCAAGATTGGCTTAATACAATTTTGCATATCTCCACCTAAAACAGATGTAAGTTGGACTATCTTGTTAAAAAAAAAAATTGGTTATTTCCAAGATTTTGATAAATATATTTCTGAATTTTTAGAATTTTAATTTGTGGACTTTGTGTGTGTTTTTAAACTTGATACACACAACTTTGACCATGACTAAAGTACTTGGTCGAGGGTCCACTGTACTTGCAACATCTGCCACATTGCTCCTCTATCCACTCTATCATATGCCTTTTCTAAATCCATAAATGCAATAAAACTTCCCTACCTTTATCTAAATACTGTTCACATATATGCTTCAATGTAAACACTTGATCTACACATCCCCTACCCACTCTGAAGCCTCCCTGCTCATCTGCAATCCTACATTCTGTCTTAACTCTAATTCTTTCAATGATAACCCTACCGTATACTTTTCCTGGTATACTCAGTAAACTTCTTTCTTTCTTTCAACACACCGGCCGTATCCCACCGAGGCGGGGTGGCCCAAAAGGAAAAACGAAAGTTTCTCCTTTTACATTTAGTAATATATACAGGAGAAGAGGTTACTAGCCCCTTGCTCCCGGCATTTTAGTCGCCTCTTACAACACGCATGGCTTACGGAGGAAGAATTCTGTTCCACTTCCCCATGGAGATAAGAGGAAATAAACAAGAATAAGAACTAGAAAGAAAATAGAAGAAAACCCAGAGGGGTGTGTATATATGTGCTTGTACATGTATGTGTAGTGTGACCTAAGTGTAAGTAGAAGTAGCAAGACGGACCTGAAATCTTGCATGTTCATGAGACAGAAAAAAGGACACCAGCAATCCTACCATCATGTAAAACAATTACAGGCTTTCGTTTTACACTCACTTGGCAGGACGGTAGTACCTCCCTGGGCGGTTGCTGTCTACCAACCTACTACCTATAACTCAGTAAACTTATTCCTCTGTAATTTTTACAATCTCTTTTGTCCCCATTCCCTTTATATAAAGGGATTATACATGCTCTCCGCCAATCCCTAGGTACCTTCCCCTCTTTCATACATTTATTAAACAAAAGTACCAACCACTCCAACACTATATCCCCCCCTGCTTTTAACATTTCTGTCATGATCCCATCAGTTCCAGCTGCTTTACCCCCTTTCATTCTACGTAATGCCTCACGTACCTCCACCACACTAACATTCTGCTCTTCTTCACTCCTAAAAGATGGTATACCTCCCTGGCCAGTGCATGAAATTACTGCCTCCCTTTCTTCCTCAACATTTAAAAGTTCCTCAAAATATTCTCGCCATCTACCTAATACGTCCCTCTCCCCATCTACTAACTCCCCTACTCTGTTTTTAACTGACAAATCCATACTTTCCCTAGGCTTTCTTAACTTGTTTAACTCACTCCAAAATTTTTTCTTATTTTCATTAAAATTTCTTGACAGTGCCTCTCCCACTCTATCATCTGCTCTCCTTTTGCACTCTCTCACCACTCTCTTCACCTTTCTTTTACTCTCCATATACTCTGCTCTTCTTATAACACTTCTGCTTTGTAAAAACCTCTCATAAGCTACCTTTTTCTCTTTTATCACACCCTTTACTCCACCACTGATATGTATGGCTTCTCTCAGTGACCATTATAAACCCATCAACAACACTTCCATCACTTATCCTCAAATACATTGACATATTTTATTCATTCTAGAGTATTTATCATGTTTCTATGTTATTAATATTGTTTATTATGTCACATTAGATGAATTGTGATAGATAAATAAGCCGTAGAGTTGATAATAGCGTCATATTGAAGTACTATTCTGTCATGCCTCCTGACAACAGGAATGGATTAATTGGATATCCATTATTTCTTATGGGGAAAATTAAACAACCGTGGTTGTTTAATATATTTATAGATGGGGTTGTAAGAGAAGTAAATGCGAGGGTCTTGGCAAGAGGCGTGGAGTTAAAAGATAAAGAATCACACACAAAGTGGGAGTTGTCACAGCTGCTCTTTGCTGATGACACTGTGCTCTTGGGAGATTCTGAAGAGAAGTTGCAGAGATTGGTGGATGAATTTGGTAGGGTGTGCAAAAGAAGAAAATTAAAGGTGAATACAGGAAAGAGTAAGGTTATGAGGATAACAAAAAGATTAGGTGATGAAAGATTGAATATCAGATTGGAGGGAGAGAGTATGGAGGAGGTGAACGTATTCAGATATTTGGGAGTGGACGTGTCAGCGGATGGGTCTATGAAAGATGAGGTGAATCATAGAATTGATGAGGGAAAAAGAGTGAGTGGTGCACTTAGGAGTCTGTGGAGACAAAGAACTTTGTCCTTGGAGGCAAAGAGGGGAATGTATGAGAGTATAGTTTTACCAACGCTCTTATATGGGTGTGAAGCGTGGGTGATGAATGTTGCAGCGAGGAGAAGGCTGGAGGCAGTGGAGATGTCATGTCTGAGGGCAATGTGTGGTGTGAATATAATGCAGAGAATTCGTAGTTTGGAAGTTAGGAGGAGGTGCGGGATTACCAAAACTGTTGTCCAGAGGGCTGAGGAAGGGTTGTTGAGGTGGTTCGGACATGTAGAGAGAATGGAGCGAAACAGAATGACTTCAAGAGTGTATCAGTCTGTAGTGGAAGGAAGGCGGGGTAGGGGTCGGCCTAGGAAGGGTTGGAGGGAGGGGGATAAAGGAGGTTTTGTGTGCGAGGGGCTTGGACTTCCAGCAGGCATGCGTGAGCGTGTTTGATAGGAGTGAATGGAGACAAATGGTTTTTAATACTTGACGTGCTGTTGGAGTGTGAGCAAAGTGAACATTTATGAAGGGATTCAGGGAAACCGGCAGGCCGGACTTGAGTTCTGGAGATGGGAAGTACAGTGCCTGCACTCTGAAGGAGGGGTGTTAATGTTGCAGTTTAAAAACTGTAGTGTAAAGCACCCTTCTGGCAAGACAGTGATGGAGTGAATGATGGTGAAAGTTTTTCTTTTTCGGGCCACCCTGCCTTGGTGGGAATCGGCCGGTGTGATAATAAAAAAAAAAAAAATGATAAAATTGGTTAAGGACAAGCTCTCAGGAACAGATTAATATCGTTAACTGAGGGTCCAGTGCATTTGGTTTTATAAGCCTGGAAATGGGAGGTACAATGCCTTCACTTTGAAGGAGGGGTTTGGGATATTGGCAGTTTGGAGGGATATCTAAGCTGTCATATCTGAGCATCTCTGCAAAGACTGGGATTATGTATGAGTGATGGTGTAAGTGTTGAATGAGGATGAAAGCTTTTTTTTTTTTTCTTTTTGAGTCATGCTGCCTTGGTGGGAAACGGCTTGGAGATTTACGACTCGCTCTCAGCGAGTTCAGTTCCTACCCGTAGCTTGCTTTTTTAGTAATTATGCATGAGTGAGGTGAAAGTGTTGAATGATGAAAGTATTTTTGTTTTGGGGATTTTTTCTTTTTGGGCTGCCCTACATAGGCGGGAGATGGCCGACTTGTTAAAAAAAAAAAATACACAGCCTTGACCATAACTAAATAATTGGTTATATTTGGTTATACATACCTAGGATATGAATGGATTTAACGCAGAAAACGGGAGTTATTAGACTGGGAGTTGTAGGTATTGAGAAAGTGGAGGGAATATTTTGAAGAACTGTTAAATGGTGGAGTGGAAGGCAGTGATTTCATGCATTGACTAGGGAAGTATAACATCTTTTAGGAGTGAGAAAGTGTCAGATGTGAGAGTGGTGGAAGTGCATCATACACTGGGTAAAAATGAAAGTGGGTAAAGTAGCTGAAATTGAAGTGAAAAAAGACGAGAATGTTAAAAGCAGATAATGAAATGCTTTTGTTCAATAAATGTGTGGAAAAGGGTAATGTACTGAAGGATTGACAGAGGGCATGCATAGCTCTTATTACGTATATAAAGAAAAAGGGGATAAAAAACTGTCAGAATTAGAGGGCAAAAAAAAGCTTGAATGTATTAGGTAAACAGTGTGGTAGTTATTATTGAAAGAAATAAAGGTAAGACGGAGAGCAGGATTGCAGATGAACAAGGTGTTTTTAGGAAGGGCAGGGGATGTGTAGTCCAAAGTGTTTACATTGAGGCAAATAAATGAACAATATTTAGAGATGTACTGGCCAGGCTGCAGTAGTGACTTCCAGAATTCTTTTACAGTAGTAGGTTGGTAGACAGCAACTACCCAGGGAGGTACTACTGTCCTGCCAAGTGAGTGTAAAATGAAAACCTGTCATTGTTTGACACGATGGTAGGATTGTTGGTGTCTTTTTTTCTCTAGTAAAAATGCAAGATTTCAGGTATGTCTTGGTACTTCTACTTACACTTAGGTCACACTACACATTCATATACATGTTTATGTATACAGTAGGGCCCCACTTATATGGCAGGTTAGGTTCCAGGCTACCGCCGTAAAGCGGAAATCGCCGTAAAGTGGAACACACTTGTTTTCCACTTATAAATGCATACAAATGCTAGATAACAAGTTTACACTAACATATATTAAGTTAGCAATAGAACTAGGCATCAAAAAACAATAAAAAAGTACAATACACACATAGTGCACTCATTACTTACCTTAAAATATTTATAATCTTAATCTAGGGTGAGACAAGTAGTATTTATTGTAAGAAATCAAGTGTTTACCTGGAGTTTACCTGGAGAGAGTTCCGGGGGTCAACGCCCCCGCGGCCCGGTCTGAGACCAGGCCTCCTGGTGGATCAGAGCCTGATCAACCAGGGTGTTGCTGCTGGCTGCACGCAAACCAACATACGAGCTACAGCCCGGCTGATCCGGAACTGACTTTAGGTGCTTGTCCAGTGCCAGCTTGAAGACTGCCAGGGGTCTGTTGGTAATCCCCCTTATGTGTGCTGGGAGGCAGTTGAACAGTCTCGGGCCCCTGACACTTATTGTATGGTCTCTTAACGTGCTAGTGACACCCCTGCTTTTCATTGGGGGGATGTTGCATCGTCTGCCAAGTCTTTTGCTTTCGTAGTGAGTGATTTTCGTGTGCAAGTTCGGTACTAGTCCCTCTAGGATTT